TTGCACTCAAAGGCTGAATAATATTTTCCATATACGTATAATCCTCTGGTGTCCTGCTGAGATGACTATAGTCATATCGTCATTTTGACCATATCTTTCAAAACAAAGGAAGTCATCTTTCCAAGTGTCTGGCAACGAACTGAGTTAGACCCAAATCAAAATGGAATCAAAAATACCCAACCAATCCACCACTCTCACCCTACTCAATGCATGTTTCTTCAGAAACCAACATAAATATGGCATAATAGAGAATATGGGTCAGTAGAGAAGAAGAACTGATGGATGCAGAATTGAACAAAGACAAAGGGAAACCTTGATTATTCCACTGTAGTGATGTGGAGACAGAGCAATAATTGAATATGCTCTTTTTAGGGACTCTGGTTTTTCTTAATCGTGTGTGAGTGTGTGTAGGTACAGTATGTCTGTGTGTTTGTATAAATGGCTTGCTTGGGAGACAGAAAACATGCTGTGCAGCCTGAACTAAGTCACCCCCACTTGAAAAGACTGACAACTGAGTCAACCGATAGTGCAACTTAACTTGAAACCCAAACGACAACTAAACATATCAGGACAAGATGCAGAGAAGCAGCTCTGCCTATTACCACATCCCATCCCCCCACACACCTTTCTTATTCCTGGTTGGAGTTTTAGAGTTCTAAATACAAGGAATCGTTGGTCATCTCATCTATACTGTATGGATGAACTAGTTAGCTAGCCTTCAATCATAAATATTATATCATGACTAATATATAGCTAAAAAGCAGACCTTGAGTCAGATTTATGTAGGTTAGCTAGTTATACTAGCTTTCACTATCTGAATAAACTAGTTAGCTAGGTAGCTAAGTCTATATATTTTTTGCCAAGCTCTATCAGCTTATACTCTCTGGATGAACTATGTATAAACCAGAAAATTACAACAATATCTTCTTTCCTCAGAAAGTGTTAAATTAACCAAAGCTGGCTAGCTTTATCCCAGTTTTCAAGGCCTAAAAATCTGGATATCGGAGTGAGCTTCTCTACACTCCCCAAGCAAGTAATCAGACCTTTAACTATTTATACATTAGCCTTCTATTGCAGATTTAACTTTTATGCTCAATCTGAAAGGGCAAATATTTGGTTTTAGTTCATAACGACTAAGCTTCACTCTGAAACTCCAGTCTGTGTTTTTTGTGGCAACATCTTCTCCATGCTGTGTTCCTCACCTCTTCTCTGTCCTCCGACCCCTCCTCCTGCTCCTCCAGTTATTTTGAGGAAGAAGCTTCTTTTTGCATCCCTTGTTCCAGTGTTTTTATATCCTATTTTTGGAGATGAATTCTAAATGCATGCATGGGAAACTTTAAAATGGTGACTTTAACCTCATTGTGAATGGCTATGTGAAGGGAAGCCTTTTCTCTGTCAAAAAAGCAAAAGTGCTCATCATCCTCTTTTCCTTTCTCTGCCAGGAGTAGGACATAAGAACTAAGTATTCATGCACTTCTTTTAGTTGTTGTTTTTTTTCTCACAAGGATACAAGTATGGGCATGTGTAATTTGCCCAATCACCTTTCACAGAGCAGCAGAGTGTGATGTGGTCACTCTCGAGTGGAAACAGTCTCTGTGTCATGAGTCTGTAGACTCATGGCACCAGTGTCAAGGGTTTGTTGTCGAGCAGTCTTTATCCATCACTCACCATTTCAGAGAATGTCCTAAAATACTCTTAGGTCATCTTTCTCTTTACTTTTGACTTTGCTTTAACAACTTTTCACTGAATCATTGATGCTGATGTCACGGAAAGCTTTTCTTTTTACTGTCCATCTCATGCCTTTCTTCCTTTCTGTGCAGATAAAATTAGTCTTCTTTTATATATATTTTTTGTTCCAACCTTGTACTCAGTTTTCTGTGCCTTATCTCATTCACTTTCCTTCTGCTGCAGAGTTTTGTCAAAAGAAGAAAGTGTCATGCTTGAAGTCGAGATGCAGCTATTCATCCTGTTAGATGTTGAAAGATACTCAATTCACTGTAGATTGCCTGTTTTTTTTGTCACTTGATCGATTGATAAGTCATTGATTGGTTTCCATAGTATCACAAAAAAGAGGCAGAAAAGAAAGAAGGATGACAGAGACAAAAAGAAGAGAGGCTTCCCTCTAGAAATGAAAGGAGTTTGTGCTAAAAAAGACTGATGCTGGATATAATTTTGTCACTACACTGGAGAGAGAAAAATGAAATAAAAAAAATCAAGAACTGTATAAAATATATTTCAATGGAATGTTTATTATTTACCTTTTCTATTTTTGAAACATGTAAAGAACAAAAGAGGTGAAACAAATAATTTAACAGCATTTGTGAAAAAGAAAAAAACTGTTATATTGTTAAAACGTATGAAGGTTTGACTGTGAATGCTGATTTACCTGAGCAACTCTTCTCCTTTATTGATAGGATAATAAAAAAAAACAAATGAATAATATAAATTGAAAAAAAAAAAAACTACTGGTAAAAAGCAAAATACTTCAGTTGAAAGAAAAAATTCAAAAATAAATAAAAACATTAAAAGCTTATGCCAAAATTTCCCCTTTGTGCTGTGTCATTTTTTAAAATCCTTGTTTTACTGTGTTTAGTGTCATTCCGCTTTGGTGACAGCGGGATGAACAGCAGATTTGACTTTATTCACGGTTGTGGGACTTATCCAGTTATGGTTTCATTTATTCTATATTATTATTAATAAATATGATTTATTATATATAGTTCTGGTTTCTATCACAAACTATGGCAATGCATTGCAAAAGTAAACTAATCAAAATACAGTTATTAAGTTAAAAAACAGCCAGCTTTCAAGTACTTGCTTTTGGAAGCAACCAAGTAATGTTTTCAGACTGAAATATGACTCAAGAAGGCTGGATGATCAATAATTTCAAGGCTTATTTGATGTAAAAACATGGTTTATATACTGTAATCTTCATGCCAACAGTGAAGACTTGAGTGGAAACAAAAGTGTTTGAATATGGTAAATGGACTTGAGCTTGTATAGCACTTTCATAGTCTTCAGACTACTTAGAGCACTTTTTACACCACATGTCACATCTATCCATTCACACACTGATGGCAGTGGTGGCTATGTAGTGAGACCATCAGAAGTAACTAATCCCATTCATATACTGCAGACAAAGCAATTCGGAGTTAAGTATCTTGACAAAGGACAAATCATCCTGTTGCTGCAAGAGCTGGGGCTTGAACCCTTGACCTTCAGGTTTAGAGACAACAACTCTACCAACTGAGCCAAACTGGATATCATCTGGTTGCCTCACACTGAGAATACAGAAGGCACATTTGATTGGTGACTGTCTGGTTTTCAGATAGAGGCTGTTTATAACTCATCTGACAACAAGTGGATAGCTGTAAGGCTTGATGTGAATGCACCTCAATGCATCCTGAGGACTGATAGAGACCTGACAGCTCATATGAAGGTGGTCTGGCATGCATTTGTCCACATTGGTTTGATTTTGTAAACATACTCATACTTCCTGAAGGCGGAAGGACCTCCCCTCAGCCCTTTCAAACAGAAATGATATACAGGTCTGTATTTGCATGTGAGGCAGGCAGTGGATCCCAATCTCCATACTCAATGGAAATGCATTGTTACTGCAAAGTGTAAAAGCCCGTACTTAAGTGCTATCCACTTGTTGTACAGTCAGGATGTATGTTATGGAAGGTATAAAAACCCTCAAAGAGTCCTCTGTTTAACAGTCTGCTGTCAGTGAGCATGTAAGATCCTGTGCACATGAACAAAATGAATGTGATAGATTGGGTATTTAAACAAATTGCAACTTCACCAACGACATTCAGTCAAGCGTCATAAGTGGTAAATGTAGCCTAGAGCCAGTTGCCTGCAAAATAGATAAGGATAAGGCTATCAACATCAAGTAAGCACTCTATTTTTGTATCCCCACACAACCAGAATATTTAAACATAGGATGGAAAATACAGCAAAGTATCAATTTCATTTTTCAGTTATGATTTAAGGTCTCATATTATGCTAAATACACTTCATCGTGGTTTTCTAACAATAATATATGTCCCTAGTTTGTCTACAAAACCCCAAATTATGAGAAAAGTCAAGAAAGGACATGTGACATCACAAAGGGCAGTAACCCCTCCCCCAGATGGGGGACTCTCCCACAGCTATGTGTTTGTTCTGCCCTCTAAGTCTGCCTTCTCACCTAAAACAATAGGGCATAGTGCAAGAAAGCCCAAGACCCCAAAGCCCTCCAAGAGGGGTCATTTACATTTAAAGCTACAAACACAGAAACAGCCTGTTCTGAGCAGGGCTGAAATAGAGGGGTTTATAGGCATGATAAATTATAGTGTCAGAGTGGATCTTTGGCAAGAAAACTCAAAGACATGTTTTGTGGAGCTCTGAGACTTATTTAAATTGGTTGAAAAGGAATATATGTGACCTTTAATATAAATATCTAATTTCAAGAATTTGTCATCCAGCAGCCTCAAGCACTAGTCAAAAAAAAAAGACAACTGCTTGAAATCACATGTAAAAAACATAGCTTTTTATTCCTTAATTAACAATATTCTTTACAGTTTGAAGTATTGTACTGTAAAATAATTGTCAAATATATGAAGGTTCAAACTTTGAACCTTCATAAATTTGACAATTCCTTTTATCAAAAAAGACATCCACACTAACCCTTTTGTTGTCATGTTTGAGAATTAATGTAACTTGGAAAATATCTTTTCTTTTATAAGATTTCTTTGAGCTTTTTTTGAGTGCCTTTATTGGTGAGACAGGACAATGGAAAGAGTTGGAAATTGGAAAAGGAGAGAGGGGCACCGGCTTTGAGAACTACAGTCTCATTACATGGGGCTCACAAACCATCCACTCATCCATCTGCGCACCAGGAAATCATATCTTAACTAATTATTAGAGTTCAAAGGCAACATTTTAAGTAAAACCTGCATGAAGTTATGAACTTTTAAAATAAAAGGCAAAAAAAATGGAAAAAAGACAATATGGCATTACTTACATACAAAATGCTTCTTTAATACCAGTTGTATCATAATGTACATGTAAACATTTGATTCTGTGCCTTATTAAAAAAGAATCCAGATTTCATCAATTAATAATCTATGCTTTGATGATGCATATGTCTTATACTTCCACTTTTAGGGTTCATTTCCAACGATTTGATTTCATCATCAAAATTAACAAATAAAAAGTTTGTGATTTATGTTTTCTTAATTATTACACTAATACAGAACATTACATTTTTGTACTCATTTGACTGTGTTCTCATAATAAAAAAGTAACAAGCAGGTTTAAACCAGCCCTCAAACCTTTGAACAAGTCATGTTAAAATGAATAAGAAAAGACACTGCTGCTGCTGACAGATTACTTTGATCAGCAAGATTCACCACATACAGAACATGATAATGCCGTGATTGTGGTGACCAGGTTTAAAATGACCCGTAACAGCCTCCACAACAAAAACAAGGCACCTTCAAATCTGCATCTGACCACCACATGTACCGCGAAGAACAAGTGCAGCACTGCAAGTAAAACAGTCAAAAAGCTCTCTAACATCTTTTCTAAATCAACAAAGCTGTCACAAACAGACATCTTCATATCGGTTTTTTTAAAGAAAAAAAAATCTTTACCCACTCTAGCAAATATATCCCACATTTCACATCTAATAATAATAATAATAATAATAATAATACATATTCCTCAATTAGTAATTCATTCAAGTAGACAGGTTTTTGGTTCCTTATGCATAGTCAAATCAACTCATGAGTCATGACAACTCAAAAAAACAAAAAAAACACCACCAAATTAGTAAGTTCCATGATTGTGATACAGGTCTGGAGTTTGAGCATGAGCTTCTATCTCCCTCAGAGTTGTCTAGTCAGTTTCCAAGTGATGACACTTCCAATAGCCAGGCCGGCAGCGAAGAGGACAAGGCCGCAGGTGATGGAGTTCACTGATGACACGCTTTGCACAGACGCCACTGCCAGCTCAGAGAAGCTGCTGATCTGTGGAGAAACAGCTGTTGTCACATGGTATAGTAAAGGCCACGCGGCTGTGTTTATTAAACGTGTTATATCTATTATGTTTATGAACCTTACTATTTCTCTATCGTATCGAGACTATCTCTGCACAGAGTTACATATTCCATATGTACGGGGACTGATCCACTGGGGCAGTTGACGTCTCATTCGAAACGCCGACTGCCTGATATTCAGGTGAGGTGTCCAAGGAGTGGTTACATTGTAACCTTGGTTCTCTGAGTGAAGAGACTATCCCTCCAAGGCGAAACCGCTCGGAAACCGTTCCAGTCAGTGTAAATCAGTGACTTCATGGGCACCTCTGCATTCTATACCCGCTCATTGGCCACGTAGTGTCTTAAAGAAGTATCCACGTCAACTGCCCCAGTGGTTCAGTCCCCGTACATATGGAATATGTAACTCTGAGAGATACACTCAGAGAACTAAGGTTACAATGTAACCGAATGTTCATTTTGCTTAAAGTATCTTGCTTTATTTCTGGCTCTATGTTCATCTTTGTTATTCAATCTCATTTATTTAACACACTTAATGTAAAGTTTAGACTTTCTTTAAAGTTATTCTAATTTTGGTTGCTAAATAACCATCAATAAATTCCTTGTAGGCCTACAATACATAAGTTAATATCATACAAACATGTATGCTCTGCACACAGCACTGTAAGTCCTTATATCTTGGTACAGGTGATGGCAGGAAACATCATCTTGACAGCAAATGAGAAGATTCACCGCACACAAGAAGGCTGCATTATGTCTTCTTTTTATTTAATTACATTACACTTCTTCTTGTGTGCAGTGAATCTTCTCATTTGCTGTCAAAATAAATCAGCACTCTATGCAAAATGTTTACTCAACTTAACAATCATAACTTTTGGATTTGTTTCACATAAAAAATAAAAAATAAATATTGAGGTAATGATTATATTTTAAGGTTTGAGCAGGTTTTGGATGCGTCACACTTGGATGGGGTATGACATTTTGGTTCTGTGAAGACCCCTACTACTTTTATTAAATGAAATACATTTATTTTATATAATACATGAAAATAAATCAAACATGTAGTATAAGAGACATGAACACAAAGGGCGGCTGTCTCCCACTGAACATCTGCTGAGCATTTCTTTTTTTAAATACTTCTTTATAACACTACCACCTCTACACAATCCTAAAAGATACTGGTGGTTAAACAGCTCTCCCTACTGCTCAAACTGACACACTGGTCTTCTATTACTATTACTATTCTATTACAGCTTGATCTACAGAGCATTGTATTCTGTTACAATGACACACAATGCATAAAGTTCTCCAACAATAAACATGTGAACGATGAACTAACAGCACAGAGAAAAGTGCAGTCTGAAAAAATGAAGGCCAAACATACCCATCCTCCATGTTCCACAATCCAGCCCAGTAGATTGTTTTTGAAGAAATCCAAAGTCCATTTAAGGACGTCCCTCACTGACTGAGGGAGATGAACCTCAACCATCTGATGGACACAAACACACAGAGATGATCAACAGAAACAAAGATGAATACACAAAGTACAGGTGGTGTCTACAACAAACCTGTAAATCACTCCACATGCATCTCATAAGTTATCTTCAAGACGCATGTTAATTAGTTTTACACACGAATGAACGTCTTCTTTATTAATCTAAGACCCTCGTCTGTTTGAAGAGCTCTGAAGATTGGGCTTCCAGTAAGAAACTTTTTGAATGATGAACACTAAAATAATCCTAACATAACATAACATAGATGACATTTGGTAGCCTGGCTTATAGTCCCTTTCTGATCCCAAAAATTATACTGCATGTTCATCAATATTTCATGAGGTTGGAAGAGAAAATCTAGAAAAATGTTAAATAATATATCTACTTTCTTGCCACTTTCTTTGACCCAGGGAGAAAACAGGGGTGATCTAAACAATTAGAATTTAATCATTTTGTTGTCCTACATTTGACAGTTTGCTTCTTCCATGTCATCCAGAAGCTGTTTTTCAACCATCTATCAAAACATTGAATCCATGTAAAGGAAGGTATAAAGTTAAAGAGAAACTAATGTTCACTCAATCATCACCTATGGGCCTCCTTACATGTGCGGTACTCTACTGAGACCCTAAACTCTGTCTGTATAGTGATGGTATCTTTTGATTTGGTTGACACAAGACATTTCTGGGAGGGTAGCTGGTGTGTTTCCCTCAGCCAATGACAGCGTGAAGGTTTAGGAGTGAAAGTTTAGGAGTGGATACAATTCAGCGATTGGACATGATTCAAACTGGTCAATAATGACAGACTTGGACATAGTGGCAAAGAAGAGACAATATAATCATATTGAGGTGACACGCCAGGGGGATACAGCTCGTTCCAAATCCTTGATTCATAGAACCGTAGTTATGTAAGTTTAGTTTTTTCTTGCCACTGTAACTTTGCTAAATGTCACTTAGTGCCGTGTTCATGGTGGTTTCATGTTGGGTCTTTGCAAACAATATAACCAAGAGTACGGTCAGTGGCAGTTCTAGACCACTCTTACTGAGGGGGCCAAACTGGGGCCAGTTGTTTTGTCAGAGGGGAACATTAAACCCAGGTGAAAAATAGACAAAAATGATCGCTTTAAAATAAATATATATATATATATTATGCCAAATAATAGCGCACATCATTAAATACCACAACATAAAATACCATGATTTAGATTTGGTTCAGTGACAGTATTTAATAATAGATTGTGAGTATAACCGCCCAAGAGTACCCTCTAGAACTGCTCTCTTGTAAAGGGTCTTGAGATAACATTTGTGAATTGGCAGTTTTCAAATAAAGATTGATTTATATTTGCCCAGTGTAATGGGAAAAAATGTATTTTGCTTATGTGTGAAAATAATTATTTTGATTTTTTATTGAACCTTTATTTAACCAGGAAAAAGTCTCATTGAGATTAAAAATCTCTTTTACAAGAGCATCCTGGCCAAGACAGGCAGCAGCACAATTACAGGGTTTCAGACATAAAACACTTCGATACAGGAATCACAAAAAGAACCATTCATCAGAATCTGTCATAAGTCATCAGCAACAAAGCGACTCTACATGGACATTTACTCTTCTACTGTTTAGGTTGATTGTGTTAAACTGCTTATCTCCTACAACAGGAGCTTGTCAATATTGTTGTTTCCTCCTTGACATGTATAAAAAGGAGAATTCATTCTGTCTGTCATATGAGCTACTCTGCAGTGTGGTCATCACTCTGTACAGTTTCTCCTTCCTGCAACTTCATGTAGGAATAAAACCTCACAAAGATGACTGGGGTTTTGGTCTTCTTCACTGGGAATATTTCCATTACACCAGCCCTACAACTCACCTTAACAGCCAGCTTCCCAGCAACATAGAAGAGCATAACGATCCTCCCCCAGTTGATACCATCTTTGAACACTACGTCTGCCACTTCCTTAAATCTCTCCCACTTAGAACCAGGGCAACGAGCCACACCATCGATCAAACTGCAACGGGTGAAAAGTAGTTCAAATAGCACACAAGTTTAAAGGGGACATATTATGAAAAATCCACTTTGACAGTGTTTTTGAAAACATATTTGTGTAACCTGAGTGTCTACCGCCCCCCAACATTTGAAATAAACCCATCCAGTCCTTTGTTTGTGATCTGCAAGTCTTACAACACAGAGAAAAATGCTCTGTTTCAAATTTGCTCAACTTGTGACATCACAAGTGGGATTCTGGTAAAAGAAAATCCCCTCCCCTCCCCTGATATCTCCACCCATGGACTCCACTCCCAGCCTAGAACAAAACTTTTGTGCAGGTCGGCCATTTTTATTCTCACTACAGAGGACTGACGTCTACCAGGAAAACTCAGGGGGGGCTCATTGCATTTAAATAGACACACACACCAAAACGGAGCGTTCTGAGAGAGCTGGTTTATACAGGGTCACAAACCTCCTCTGGTGCTTGATTCATGATATATTTTGACCAAAGCACAGCAGAGGTTTTTCATTTAGACCACAGGGGACTGTTTGAAAAGGTGGAGAAGGGGTATAATATGTCCTCTTTAAAATCGTAAGAAACTCAAGTGTTCTGATACCACATATGAAAAAAGCTCAGAGGTCAAACGGCAGAAAAACTTACTCCTGATACTCAGCGTTGAGTCCGTCCCCAATTTTGCGGGTCAATAATGCCAGCTGGTACACCAGCTTCTGCTCCTCCTGTACAGTCTTCCCGTCTATAGCCAGTTGGGTGAGGGGTGGGATTTCCTCAGAGGGAAAATCCTTCAGTTCCTCCTGTATGACCCTGGAACAGCACATGACATTATAAAATAGGCCTCTTTCTAAACCAACTTCCATTACAAACTCTACACTGTGGCAAGACGAGACAGAATTTCAGCATGTTAATTAGTTCATTACCATTAAATCAAAAAAGAAAAACAGGTAGTTTGGCATTTTTTCAGCACTGATAAATGGTTATTACACAGAAACATACAGAAGTGTTTCCAGGTAAGAAGTCACAAGATTTATCATCATTTGTACAGTATTACCTTTAAACTAAAGGGAATGATTGGGATATAAGGGCTCGATGAACTTCAGCATTATAATTGGGTAATTACCAATATTGACTTGAAAGAGGTTTCATCTCATTTGGAAAGAATAATGCTGATTGTAGCCTCTAACACTGTGACAACATCAACATATATTACCTCATTATTATCATGTTATCACAATTAGGGCCTGACTAAAATGGAATTTATGGGGCCGGTACCGATATCGATATTAGAAAGAGAAAAAATCTGATACCGATAAATCGGCCGACATATTTCTTTGATTTATGTAAGACCTTTAGAAATAGATATAGATATTCACATTTATTGCAATCATCCCTCAAACGCAGTTATCAAACAAGAAGTATAACTTAGACAAGACGGTCACTCAACAGCTTGACACTCGACATACACTTGCGTAGTGTAATCCATAAAGCATCTCAAATCAATGTACAGTTCAAATAATTGTTCACTTGTTATATTGACTACTGTCATTAAAATAAACACATGAACACCATGATTCCTTTAAGTGTTTTTTGTTGGTCTCTCCCCCAAAGCTGTAAACCTAGGGGAAACACTGGTCTAATATGGGCGATATATTATCTGCTGGCAGATTAATCAGTCAGGCTCTAAGTACAATATTAATATCACCATATTTACAATGTTTTAATCCAAATATTGCACTGGTACAACCATTTTATTGTTAGAATGTTACCAAAATATTACTGCGTACTTAACAAAATAGTATTGCATCTTGAAATGTGTCAACTTATTATAACCCCTACATTCTGAGCCCATATTACCATGTTACATACATTTCAGTGGAATATTACCCAGACATACACATTGTTATTACCAAGCCATTACCTATTACTTTGGAAATTAGATGTTAGGTATGTATAACCTCTTTGTTATCACACTGTGACTCCACTATTACCATCTTATTACTGTGCTGTGATATGCAGTGCTACCGATCATGTCTTATTTTTAACAATATAAGTTAGTTTGTTGTGTGATTAGAAAAGTATTCCTCTGGGTCTGGTGGTCCCTCCCTCTCACGTGTGTGCTCTTTGAACAGGCCGGGTCCTGCAAGTGACAATCCCCCTCTTGGGGGACCTCCATCCTACCCTCAAATCAAATCAAATGCTCAAAACAACCCCAAAACCTCAGCTGCTACCAATCAACTACCCCTAAAACATAATCATTACACAAACTCTCACCTCTCACACCACAACATTGTTCAACATCAACATATTCAACACATACCATACACACTGCTCAACTCCTCAACTCTCTTCTGCCTCTCAAGTCCCCCTTACAAAGCACCTTCTCCCCCTCCCCTTCTCTCTATCGCTTCTTTCACTTCTTGTATCCCTCCTTAGGTATTTCATATAGTTTTGTAATGTCTTTGCTGGTTGTAGTCTGATGTGTGTCTATTGATGTCTTAGTATTTTGCTCTCTTTATTTGTTTTATTTTTTTACTCTATTTTGGAGTTGTTGTCCCTTGTCTTTGTCACTCTATTGCACCTAATAAAGAAAAAAAAAAGAAAAGTATTTTATCATTTTGGAGACAGTGGAGCTTTGAACAATCACATCTTACAATATGTTTGATTTTTTCATGTACATGTCAGCCACTTGTCTATAAAATCTGTGCATCTCCGAGACACCACAAGGTTGATTTGATATCAGAATAGATAGATTATTGTCTACAACTGAGCTTTCTGTGCAAAACAGACCTCCCTATGGCAAAGAGCTTTTGACGAGAAAAATATGCCCCCCCCCTTCCCCGTGACAGCGCAAGCAGTACAAGACATGCTGTTAGAAGGGACATTGCATTTATATTTGCATTTTTTTAACTTTTACCAACATACTTTAAATGCAACCAATGTCAAAAAATGTTTATGAAAAAAGGTTTCTACACCTTTACAACAACTTAGTGCCTTTAGTATAATGTCTAACTTCTCCCCAACAAACTCTAAGAACTCTTTGAATGCCATTATTACTCCCCTGCTGAAGAAAAACAACTTAGATCCTTCAATACTCAGTAACTACAGACCAATTGCAAACCTCCCTTTCATTAGTAAAATACTGGAAAAAGTTGTTTACATTCAACTGGACAAATATCTTTCAGATCTCAATATATACGACAGATACCAGTCTGGTTTCAGAAAACATCACAGTACTGAAATAGCACTTGTGAAAGTAATAAATGACCTTAGAATCAACAGTGACCATCAGAGAACATCAATTCTAGTGCTACTTGATCTCACAGCTGCCTTTGACACTGTGAATCATAAAATCTTGATAGAAAGGCTTCATGATTCTGTTGGCCTATCAGGCCCTGTGCTTGACTGGTTCATTTCATATTTAAAAGACAGGAAGTTTTACATTTCTATTGGCAACTGTAAATCTAAAGAAACAAAAATGATCTCTGGGGTCCCACAAGGGTCAGTCCTTCGGCCATTACTTTTTAATCTATACATGCGCTTCCGCTCAGTACAATCATCCAGAAACACAACATATTTTACCACTCATGCTGATGACACATACCTGTACATCTCTCTCTCATCTGAAGATCTCAGTTCTATAAACAAACTAACAGACTGCATAAAAGATATCAACTCCTGGATGTCCAGCAACTTTCTCAAGGTAAACGCAGACAAGAGAGAAATACCCACCATTGGTCCAAAAATATCAGAGCATCCATCTTCACCTCAAATCCATGTCCATAAAATACAGTGAGCAGGCCAGAAATCTTGGCATTATTTTGGATTCTGACCTTAGCTTTGACAATCATATCTCCAACTTTACCAGAACAGCATTTTACCATTTAAAGAACATATCAAAACCTGAGCCTTCATATCCCAAACTGAAGCTGAGAAATTAGTCCATGCTTTCATCTCAACTATGTTAGATTACTGCAATGCTCTATATGCCTGATTATCCAGCAATCTGTAGGAAGACTTTTTTTTTTTTTGTAAAATAACAAAACAAACAGTGACACAAAGGACAAAACGGGGAGGACAATTTTACAGGCCTATAGAGAGTCAATTGCCAGAGCAATGGACAACCCAAGAACTTGAGATATCTGTCTTTTGAAGACTCGGAATGAACGCAAAAGAATAGTAACATTACAAGTAGGCTATACACACAAATACATAGCCTAGTGACAGGTTAAACAGTCCAGCTCCCCACACACAAGCGTACCCACCCATCCACACACCCACAAACACACACCCACGCACATACACATACACACCCATGCACATGCGCACACCCACACGCACACACACTCTCAAAGCACAGGGATCATACCCCTGGGCACATTCTAAAAGATAGTGAGACACAGATGTAATAATCACCAGTCCATTCGGATGTACTGTACATTATAAGGCAAAAGTACAGTTGCCACCCACAACTTAGGCCACAGAATGCGACCATGAAGAAAACAATATTATTATTTTTCTCCCCCAACTCTTTAACCATAACGCACAGCGATCATACAACAAATGTGCTATAATAATCAACTGCAACCAAAATGTTACAATGCCACACCATCCACTATGAGCCTTCACAGCAATGAAGTGCGGTGCCAGAGAAGGCCATCAGAGAGGCACGCAACTAGGCCCCCACCAAGCCGCCCCCAGCAGCACAACCCTAAGCAGAGCAGGCATGGCTGACAAGGAGCGCCCACACTGGTAATTTCTTCTTTTTTTTTTCTGGGATTCATGTGGAGATCTATTGTCTATAGAGCCACACCCAGACCCAGAGGAGAGTGCCGGCCCTGACAAGACCAGTGCCTTTACCCACAGTGGTCAACTACCAGACCGTATGGAGGCAGTTTGACCATTGAGGGGTGATAATTTAATTTCTCCCTGAATTTATTTGTTTTGTTTTAGTTAGTTCTTTGTTTAACTATCCTTTCTATATTTTTGTATCGTTGTTTTCCTTGTCTGAGAGTCAAAGAGGGTAAGTATTAAGTATTGTGGGTCCGTGCTCTTGCCTCAGCCACTGCCCACCAGCCATCATGTGTTGCACTTTCTCACACACACACACACACACACACACACACACACACACACACACACACACACACACACACACACACACACACACACACACACACACACACACACACACACACACACACACACACACACACACACACACACACACACACACACACACGCTTTTTTTATATCGGGCATAGATGTGCCAAAAATAAGTAAAAAATAATGAGAGAAAAATTAAATGAAAACAAAACAAAAAAAAACAACAACAAAAAAAACTGGGGGAATAGGGTAAAGTACAATTGGGAAAACAACAACTGGGACAAACCTTAGCAGTGCTTACCACAACAAGGAGTTGTAGTCATGTTTTTGCTTGTTAAGTCTTGTTTGGGTTTTTACAGGTTAATTTATGTATTAGTATGTCCAAACTGATTACAACAGCTGTCTGTTTGATTTAATGCTAAGAGGTAAGAAAACAAACAGAAACAAAAAATAAAGGAAGTAGGAAGACTTCAACTTATTCAAATTTCAGCAGCCAGAGTCCTGACCCGTACAAGAAAATGTTATCATATCACTCCAGTCCTCAAAACTCTCCATTGGCACCCCGTACAACACAGAATCACCTTCAAAATCATTTTATTAGTCCATAAAGCACTCTATGGTTCAGCTCCTGAGTACATTTCTGGCCTGCTCACAGACTACAACCCAACCCGGACCCTCAGGTCATCAGGTGAAGGTCTTTTAACAGTACCCATAATATGATCCAAGTCCAGAGAGGGGGCCTTTAGTTACTGTGGTCCTTATATGGAACAAACTCCCTGCTGACCTGAGGTCCATCACTACCGTTTACAGTTTTAAAACAAAACCTATCTTTTCGCCAAAGTATGTGAATGTATGTGTGTGTGTGTATGTATGGTCACTTTTGTGGTAACTGATGTTTGCTTTGTCATGTGTGACTTCATTGATTAGATCTCTGTATCCTATTAATGACTGTGAAAACTTTTCTTTTGTATGCTGTGTTTTGATTTTGATTTAACCTCAATGTAAAGCACATTGAGCTTATCTGTAATGAAATGTGCTATATAAATAAAATTGCTATTGCTATTTCAATGGAAATAATGTTTACAAAGGTCCCTTATGTGTGACAGCCAAAGTTCGATGATAGAAACGGCACACTTAAATCACACATCAGATCTTGATGAACAGATTTTTCAAGTCGAAAGTTCTGTACATTTTATAACTCGTTGTGAACAAACCGACGTAACAACAGTCAATGGAAACCAAAATCATCATCTGGATTCATAATGTGTGCAACATGAGTACACAATAAGAACAGCAGCATAGGGACATTCATTATTGAAATAATATGGTAATAAATATTCTAACGTGCTTAACTTCAAAAAGGCTCCCTTTAAAAGAGTGTAAAGACGATATGGATGCAGACGACTCTGCAGAATCTAATATTTTGTACATTGTACATCTCTTCATTAGTGCATGTCCAGAGGATCGTGTGTGAATGTGTGTGTGTAGCATGTCAACAACAGAGTGAATAAATTCAGTGAAAAAAGTATATGTTTTTCTTCTTCTTCTTTAAACACAATCAAATCAATTTCAAGTGTAAAATGTGTTTTGGTATTATTAACTTTTGAGCTGTGAGCTTGTTCTCAGTTGAATGACAGAAATGGTACTGCGTCACTTTTGTTGGCTTTCCATTCTACTTGAACAACTCACTGACTACATAAAACTGAGAATTGAAAAACTCTGTTGCAAGACTAGAATTACACTCTTATTAAAGTATATATCATTCAACACATCCTGCCATCTTTAACAGGACTGGAAACAACAAACATTTCAGAGGCACACACCCATTTCTAAGAAAGGTACATTTCTCACTTACTTTAGTGGCTGCTATCACACTGTCATCTATAAATGAGTCCACACAGGTAGGTGTACTTTATGAATGCATTTTCTGGAAGAGGCTGGCTGTTACTATAAAATGAAACTGAAAGCATAAGCAGCCCTGACAGACAGAAGGGCATATACATTCTGAGCTGTTTAATTATGTGAAGGATAAACTCAAACTTATTCATTATTGTAACGACAACAAGAAGTTTAAATCAAAGTAACTGTTAAAGTTTCATTATTCAAATTGTCATATTATCTGTGAGTAGTTACATGTAAACCTATGCACAAATCAAATAAGAGAAGAAGTGCATTCACTTCTTTGCTCACTTTCAGAATAGTTTTAGACCTGACTCACAAATCTTTGATTCCAACCAAAACACCTTTTCTATTCCAAGTATGGGGGATTCTGTGTTAGTATATACGTTTTGTCATGTTTTCTGGAAACAATTTGTAATTGGGAACATTTTTGTATTCTGATCTGCTATAGATATGTATTTTTTTCCTGAAAATCTCAAGACCTGCTAACACTTAACACGTACATTTTGTTTCCACGACCATTCAAATCCTGACTGTTTTGTCTCTGTGCTCTTAGATGTATCGATCAGAGGGAACAACTTGTTGCTTCTGCTTGTCTTCCTTGTTGATCATTTGGTCCGAAGAAAAATAATGTTTGTGGGCTGAATTAATCTACTTTAAGTCATTCAAGAGATGAATTGATAGTGGAAATAAGTGTTGGCTTTAGCCCTTATATTAAGCATGATATATGAAACTCTTTCTGATTTATTTTCCTTTACTTCAATTTAAAATACACAAGTGGGTAAAAGTTGAATATGAAGTCTACTTACTCTTTGATCAAGGCCTCCCCTATCCTTACATCTGTGGAATAAAACACAACATCAATTCAGATTAATGTTAGTTACATGGTAGCCTAAAGGTTACATGACGTACAAAATGTTACATTGCTGTTAGTTCCGCCTCGTAATATAAGTTATTATATTTGACTTTAACCAACGATACAAATGTTGTATTATAAATATAAAGCTTACCTGACATGCGGTTTCCTTCACAAAACATGATTTACAAAAACTGACAACTGTAAAAACTCGAGTGAAACTCTCCTTCTTTCACTACCAGAAAGTAGCTAATTTCAAAACTTCGAGCGAACCAAGAAATTCCTCGTTTATTCAACTTAATATCACAGTTCCAGTAAAAGAAAAAGTATCTTCCAAATGGACAATGTAAAGTCTGAGAAACACATCTGGTGTGACGTTATATTTCAGTCTGCTAAAGTTAGTTGAGGTATAACTGAGGCGGCGCAAGTGTGTCCTGACTCAGATTCATCCGTGTAGAAACATGCAAAGATGCTTCCGCGTTTACCTTCCGCAACAATGTGTAAAAAAAACTATTTTTACTTTGTAAAACAAATTATTTAAGGTAAACCTTGATTTAAGCATCGCACTTGTCAACATCTTGCCAACTGCACTTTTTTGAAGCAACTCTCAGCAATGTAATCTACAAACAATCTGTTAACTTCCCTTACAGACCGTAATGCGTTGTGTTCGAGACTTAACGAGAGGATTTTTTCTCTTTTGGCATGTTACACCACGATATAAGAGGTAATGATGTCAAGATAATATATATCATAATCGACGATAAATAAGTAAGCTAATAATAAAACATTTAATATTGATTAAATTAATAGATAGGCCAGTTAAATTAAAAACAAACACAAGTTAAACCAACATAAGTTAGTTGATGAGAAAAACATTTAAAACAACATTATAGGCTAGAGTAAGTAGTCCTAATATTTCAATGTTGTTTTCATATTGTTTCTACTGCTAAAAAAAACATAGATTTGACTGTCAAATTGAAACCAGAGATACAGTAAAAGGCTTCTTATAGGCCTACAGCACAGACAGACCTATGTCCTGACCAAGGTTTTCATAGTTTTAGAATTATTTATCATAATGATTTCATTTTGGTAAATGGACTTGAGCTTGTATAACGCTTTTCTAGTCTTCTAACTACTCAAAGTGCTATTTACACTTCAGGTCAAACCTACCCATTCACACACTGATGGCAAAGGTTGCTGTGTGACCATCAGAATTAGCTAATCCCATTTATACAAATGTATAGCAGCGGAGGCAATTTAGGATTAAGTGTCTTGCTCAAGGACACATCGAACATGTGGTTGCAGGAGCCCCAACCTTCCAGCTGAGAGATGACTACAGAGCCACAGCTGCCCCCCTTTTCACTTTGAAAATGAAAAATATTCATATCCTGATGCTGCCACATATATTATTTATCATGCCATACCATACCATGTGACAGGCATGTACTGAACACTAAAAAGAAAGCCCAGGACATAACAAGTGACCCTTCTCATCCACTGCACTCCCAGTTCGAAGTGCTTCCATCAGGTCGGCGATTCAGACTGCCAAGAGCCACAAAAAATGTTTATAAAAAATCATTTGTACCAAATGCAATAAAATGATTAAATTCATAAAGGAAAAAACGACCCCCCCCCCCCCAACCCTAACTGCACATTGTTTTATGAAATTACTGTTTTTAAACCTATAACTTTATGAAATGTCTTAAAACTCTGGCTTATTATTATACTAAATAATTATTTTAAATTCACAAACCATGCTGACTGTGATGTTGTCGAGGACTACAGGTGCTCCCCCATGTTTCCTGCTGCGCTTGAATGTTGTTTTGTTTGTCATAATGTTTTTTCTGTCTTGTTCTTGTGAAGCCAAAGATAATTTTCCACTTTGTGGACAAATAAAGTTCTATTCTATTCTATTCTATATTTTTACAATGTGAATAAGTCATTGTGTTACACAGGATGCTCAGCTCAGTCCCACATTTCTATGATATTAGCATTTACCATATGAGGAAAAGGTTTTCCTGTAAAAGTGTACTAGTTAGTAGCTTGCACGAATTGTTAGCTTTAAAGTCTACAAAGACTGGGTAGTGTCACAATGTACTAACTACACTTTTTGAAGTTAGCTAACCTCTGTTCAGTCACTTTATATGAACTTATTCCTGTGCCAGTGAAGAGTGTTAACAGTGACAAAAGTTGTTTAACTTTAGACAGATACATTTACCAATTGTATAATGCTGAATTGCAAATGGTTTTAATTCATGCAGTGTTTTACTGGTCCTCCAACTTCCAGTTATTTACGATGCATCAACATTCACCCTTTCACACACACAGTCACACATTAATACTCATTACTGCACTATCGTCTTATCTAGTTTTCTATAGTCTTTGTTTATGTTGTGTATATTTTACATTGTACATAGAGAGCACAGTTCACCTAAGACACATTCCTTATGTGTGCAAGCATACCTCGCCAATAAAGCTGATTCCGATTCTGATTGTTTTATCTACTTTGAAGTTTTTTTTAACGTTTGACTAATGTTTTACTATTTGTATATTGTTCTGTGTTTTTCTTCTGTCTTATGAAATGTGTGTGTAAGTGCGTGTATACGTGTGTATGGATAACTGGTTGTTCTGTATTTTACTTTTGCCACCATCTACACAGGGACAACAGAAAAAAAAAGAAAATTAGCTAGTGAGCTAAATCTGGTACAAAGCATCTTTTCTCTTTGAGACAAATGCCATTTTGTACATTGTCCATGATTCAAATGAACCAGACTAAACTAAAACTGGATCTGAAATATTTCCACACTGACACACCAATCACTTTTCCTGGTGGGGATAGTTTAGGTTCTTCTTGCCACAGAACACTTTGAAAGGCTTGACCAGCAATCTTTCAAATCAGATGCTCAAATTCCTGAGCCACAGCCTGCTTTGCAGTTTTAATCCTGATTAACATGAGATTGGTTTCATACATTTAGTTTGATTCAAACAGACACAATTGATCTGAAACTATTGTAATAGTTCCAACAAACTAGTTAGATGAGTTCAAGTAAGCACAATTCTATAGGACTTATTATTGGCTTTCCTCTCTCTCTAGTATTCACTCCTGGGCCGTATCCGAATTGCCAAGTACATACTCAATTTTTCAGTATGCAGTAGGCAGTAGGTAGTACGTACTATCCGTGCTGTATACTCAGGGGTGCAAACTTGTCACCTTTCGGTGAAATTCGCTGTTTTGGATCCCAAATATGTCATTTGTGACACGGCCCGAATAAAGTACTTCCGGGCCCTGTAGCCAATCATTACAACGCTGTCGGCGCGAACCCGTCCGCGTTGTTACAAAATCTTGGAGGTGCGCAGTTGGGCGCTCAGACCCTCCGCGGGCCCTCCTCTCGCCGGCCGCGATTGCACAATATCGCCGCGCCAACCGCAAGAAGCATGAAACCTGATTAAATGAGTCGTAATGTGCAGCACATGGCTAATTTACATCACGTTATTTTTCCGTGAAAACACTGTGGAAAGATTCGAAGTCTGGTTAGCAAGCCAGCCTTTCTGTTCAACATCCTGTCTGATCATATTTACTGTTTGGTAGCTGTTAGAGCCATTTGTGTGTTCAGTATGTATGTGTGCTCTGTTGTAGTTCCTTGTGGTCACAGTAAGGGGCACATTCACTTTGGTGTTGGGAAGGTTACAAGTAGAGGAAGAGTTAATCACGGACAGGTGAGCAGCCCACCGTGAGAGGCACACAGTTTTTGACCGCTGTTGAAATGTATCGTGAATGGAACATTTATCCTGGCTTTGTTTTACATTCAAGTTATAGTGGAATAAGTGTATGTAGACAACCAGAATATGTATTGTAAACGAACGATTCAGATAAACCCGTTTGAGTGTGACAGCACGGATTTGATTAAATTATTGCCACGAAACACGGAAACAACGCGTCAATTAAGTACGGTAGGCTATCAGCCCCTCAGTGGCTCAAACTCTTTGATAAGCAAGATCAAGCCACTACAATAAGTCAAAAACTTTGCTTTAAATTGGACAATTGGAAGCTGAAAGAACGTGAAAGAACACCATCGTTGCATAGAGGCAGATTCAACGTTGGATTCCCCAAGACTTGTTTGGCTCGCCGATCATCAGACAGCGTGTTCCAAAAGGTATCGTTATCAGACCGGTCCAACTCAACGGCGCCCACCAGCTCTACGAGGTATGTGTAGCGCTACCAGGTTTATGGCCATGTTTAAATGTGTGCACACAACTTTGTGAGCGTAATCCCAATGCATTGGTCGCCAAAAATAAACTGATCGTTGCGAAATAAGACTAAACTTTGTGATCGACTGTAATGTTCGTGCTGGACGTGCGTTATGGAACAATATAAACAAAACAGGGACATAATGGACGGTAAAATTGACGAGTCGGCAGCTGCGTGCACAGCTGATCCGGCGGCGGCTCGAACAGCTGATCCTGCTGTGGCTGCAGCGGAAATGGGTAACGTTAATGAAACACAGTCTGTAAAGGGTAAAAGATCTGTTAAATTAACTTACAAAGCTCTGGCTGAAAAAGTAGAAAGGCTACAAAATATAAGAAAAGATAAATTAAATAAGGCCAGAAATTTAAGAAAAATAACTCCGGAGCTCATGCAGCGCAGAAGTGTGAAAGAGGTAAAATGTACACTTGAAAAAATGGTTTGTCTGTGTGGGGAAGCAAAGGTTGCGCATGATTCTCTGGTGCCTTTAATGCCCACTGATGAAAGGGATAAACAAGATACATGGTTTTCTGCAAAAATGCTTGCTGAGAAGGGTTTCATTTCTGATGTTGAAAATTGGTTGACAAACAATGACAATAATGATGATGTGGCTGTTGATGTGAATCTTGAAGTTGATGTTAACCCTTTTGATGATGTCAGACCTGATGACAGCATATGAAATGTTACCAGTAAACACTGTAACAGCAGAAGCGGATTTCCAGTAAATCTGCTTCCTGCATCAAAGTACAGGCAGAAAAAGCTGCACTTCTTGCTCGTGTTGCAATACTTCAGGAAAAGCATGCTTTGGAGGCCCAGGAGGAAAAGTTACGAAGAAGAAGGGAGCAGCTCACCCTTGATGCTGAAATAGCTGCATCCACAGCAAAACTGGCTGTTTTACAAGCTGCTTCAGATTGTTCAGGAGACTCCGAAGCATCATCAAATGGGATGAATTCTTATTTTGAAAGGAAAAATGGACAACAAACAACTTCAAAAAGTCTCAATCCTGCAGCAAAGACATATGAACCCTTTACATGGAGCAGACAGCAACAAAGGAATTCCCCTGTACCTCATAATGAAACAAGTGCACAGAACACTCAGCCTGGTGCAAACAGGAAGCAATGCATCTTTGGATCAAAGCATGAGACAAAGTTGGAAAACAAGACTGAATGGCATGGAACAGAACAGTATGGAACAGA